TGTATTAAGTAGTTAACACAATGAGGAACATTTTACTGTTCTTTTGATATTGATATTTTTAACATTCAATTATTTATAAGTTGCATGTTTAACAAATTCAGTAAATGTTTATAACACCTTTGCCCTTTGAAATACAATTTAAATACTTACAGCTCTTTCATTAAAAAGTAGTGTAAAATTGTCCATATAATGGTCATAATGTTAACAAATCTGGAGAGGAAACTTTAAAGGCTCACTGGGGCAGAGCCCCAAGGGAATTAACCTCGTTTCTCACCTACAGACCAAGACCTTTCTATAGACACCTCTACCAAGCTTCTGATCCCAGCCGTTCTCTTAAATTAGTTACCACAAAAAACCCTTTTTTCCTCCATAAGAATAAAATGGTAAGGGAATTTTAAAGGCCGCTGGGACAGAGCACCAGGGGAATTAACCTTGTTTCTCTTTTGATGGCTCATATACAGACCAAGAACTTTCTTTAGACACCTCTACTATGTTTCTACTACCAGTCGTTCTCTCAAATTAGTTGTCACAAGAAAAAAACATGTAGCGTATTAAATATATAGATAGATAACGGCATAGATAAAACATACTCTCACCCTTATGAAACAGCTGAAGCCAATTTTATTGTTAGTTCTGACCAGTGCTGTAAAGGTCGTGTTTTGTTTACAATTTGTTTATTGTTATTGCAGTCATTTAAAACCGTTGTTAACCAAATAAAAGGCTTTAGACATAAACAATAACTGGTCCTCCAGTTATACAGGGTGACACACGGGAGACGTACGGTTTTCATCTGCGTTAATAGTCAAAGGTAGTACTAAGAGTGCCCTTTACGACAACCTCCCACCACCGCAGTCTCAGTACTACGCAGGCGGAAAAACCGTCCGTCTCCCGTGTGTCACCCTTTTTAATCAAACAGTAAAGCACAAATCATGAAATTACCCCTAAAATAAAAGAAACAAAATTTCGTCGACACTAGTGATCAGTGTCACCGGACATGAACTAGACACGAAAAAAACGAGCTTTAAAATTTAAAATGGGATGAGAAGTCTACTTGTGTTGATTAGTCTATAATAACGGTTTTAAAATGTGAATTGTTATTTTCAACAGCTGGTCCTTCAGTTGAATGTTTACTCTCAGTCAGATATTAAACAAGAGACGAAGAGATGGATTTTAAATAGGCTACTTTTATTGATAATTGAGGTAGGCAAATCACTCTTTAATAGTATAGATCTAGGATCAAAAGATTTCAATATATCTGTATAAATAAAATTAGAGTTTTGCTCAGAATCTTAAGTTATTTTTACGTGTCATACATTAAAGAAGCTGGAACATGTCTTATCTCAATTTCTGTCTTTCTTTCACGGCTCTGAAGGAATTTTACGCGGCTATCTCCTGAAAAACGAGAGTACCTATCAAGATTCAAATCATTTTAATGTATTCACTGGATTGGCGAGAGTGTCTTTAGCTAAAATATAGGCTCCTTATTTTGTAAATCAAATGACGGACGTTCAAAAATCCATTTTTGTGCAATTTTTGTCAAGTTTTCTTCCAATGTTTATCACGTACGACATCTATGCATTAACGAACAGCTCTTTGGATCAAGATTATTTTTTCTCGCTGCCAATGATATGTTTACATTAAATTTTGTTTACAAAAACCGCAACCATTTCAAATCACGTTTTGAAAGCAAATCCAAACCAAGTGAGATTAAAGGCGTTTTTCATAACATGACGGATTTAATTAACCGCAAGTGCAATAATGCGTAACCGTAAATGGAGTTAAATAACTAGGCATCATCCATGTCAGGAACCGGAGATTCTTTGTGTATAAAATTGTTCTTGAGTTATAATAACCGGGGAAAAGACCTTGATGAACGTTGTATAGGGCTGGGGAACTTATATTTGTTTAATCATCGTCACCAATAGCTTACAAAAAAGTTTCCACTCATCGATGGTGCTTCAATTGCGGTTATGTGAAGTGTAAAGTAAAAAGTCACAACTGCAGTGGGTGATTGAAACAGAGGTTTACGGATGATGCTAAACTCGCTTTTCCAAATTGTCACTTTCGGTTTCTACTCACCGCCGTATGCTGCAATCGCTGGACCATACAGCCAATAGGCCCATAGCCCGTCTCTTGTGTACATAGGCCTAGCCAATTATTCATAACCACTTTTCGACGACGATCCTTGATACCAGTACTGTTCCCTAGAATACATGGTCTACCTACTTAGGAAATAAAATTACAAACGTCCAAAAACCCAACCTTGTGTGATTTTTGTAACATTTCCTCCTAATGTTTACTAGATATAGGCCTACCAATCATTGTTTAGAGAACACGTCATCTATTGAATAACAAACCGTTGTTTGGATAAGATAGCTTTTTAAACTGTGAGACATGTTTACATTTAAAGTTGTTTACAAATAATGCAATTAATGGGAAATAACTTTGATTTCCGATAACTTTTTTGAGAAAAGCCAAAACCAAGGGAGATCAATAACCTCGGGATTTGATTAACGCGTTTAATTTGTCGGATGTACTATAAGTTAGTTCTTAACTGTATTCTATGTCTGTTGGTAACAAGTTGTTGTTCATACGAGTTTAAAAGACCCGACTAAATGCTAAGGTAACTAATTGAAATACTCACGCTATTTAATACCGCTTTGAAATTATAAATAAACGCTTCTTGTAAACATATTTTAGAATTTTTTTTACCCGGCCTTATTTTTTAGTGTTTTCCACAAATGTTTCCCGACTTAAAGCTGATACCAGTAAACATTTCTTGCATGTATTTCTTTGATCTGACTTTAGGTAGGTTTACTTTACCACTGTGACAACATGATGTGTATATTCTTCATGGTTTTTTTTACTTCCAAAATAAGTTGCTTAGCATAACTGGCAAAATGATTCATCTCAAGTGATTGTGTACCTGGATTCCTTACTGTGAGACCAGGCCTCTACTCTACTCTTCTCATACGTATAAGATCTCCTATTAATTGTCCCCTCCTCCTGTCTTCAATATTTCTCCTTTAAATTCAAGAAATTTTCTGTTCTTCCAACAAAACTGATTAACTGTTTAGATTTGTTTATAACCTCATAAATATTACAAACATCGATATTTACTCCAAAAAATCTGGTGAGTTTATTTTTATGTACAGCTGTTTTGTTTTTAAATTAGTTTTCAATGTAATTCTTATGGGGGAAATGCGACCTTTGAGAGCGTCTCGTGCCCTTAAGGGTAATAGATTTAAAATTCTAAAACCTTTATGCAAAACTACGAATTGAGACGAATCATTTGACACCTCAAACGTTAAAATCAGTCCAGAAATAAAAGAGGAGTTTTGTTCACAAAAAACAGCCCTCACGTATTAATATAAGAGATTTCTCAGTGTTTCACGGAAAAGATAAGAGCACCTTTGTTAATGAAAGTTTCAACAGGAATAAAGTGGTCAATGGTGAGGTTGAGGTAGTATTTTAACTTCTTTCAACCAGTGTGGAGAGTCACTTTAAATTATATACCTACCTTAGGGCTATGCTTCATAGATCTATAAAGCATTTTTTTTTTGTTTATTCATTGAATGTAACATATGTACCAACACGATCCTGATGACATTTTATTGCGAATAATTTGTTTTGGCTTGAAATTGTCAGATATTGTATTTGCGAAGGTTTGTAAAATGTCCTATACTATAATAGTTTTGCCAGCAAATCTGGAAATATGTAAACTAACTGCTGTTCTAAATATAAGAAGGTTTTAACTGACTACAAGATCCCGTGCGTAGAACGGGCACACAGCTAGTTGTTGTAAAGAGTAGTTCGTGTATTTGTAAACTGTCTAACACTTTCAAGTATAAACCTTGAATTTGTTTTGCCTTATAGCCTAGTACCGAACACTACTAACATGAGCTATTAATTACGCACGGGTCTCCTCGTTATATTTATTAAGTGTAAGGCCCGTTTTGCCAGAAGCGTCTGGTGCGTCCGACGCTCAGCGATAATCGCTAGAGCGATAATCGCTCAGCGTCTATCGCTCGAGCCTATTTTGCCAGAAGCGTCTGTTCCTTGCGATTATTTGATCAGTAAGTGGTTTACTTGGTGGCAAAAGGAGTGTTTCTGAAAATGACCTGTAAAAAGCAAATAGTAAAGTATTGGTTAGCTGAGGGATTAGACGATGATGAGTAGAAATGTTGTGCAAACCTAGGGAAGAAATGCGTACTATGTTTTTAAAGAGGCCTGAAGAGGGATATTCTAAATTGTTCATTGAAAATCAATTAACAATTGACTTAACAGTCGTGTGCTGAAATGGCTTCAATCGGTTTTTCATCTTCTTCACTATTGAATCCCCACTTTGTTTGTGACATGTCACTAAACTTTCAAACACAGCTTATTTAAAGAAACAAAAAGTTAAGTCAACAACTAAACACGTGCTTATTCCAGTAATAATCGCTAGCGACTGCGTCTCCGTCTGCTCCAGGAGCAGTGGTCCGCGTCAGACGCTTGCGTCTCAGTTACAGACGCTGGCGGCTGCAGCGATAGACGCTTCTGGCAAAATAGACTAACCTAAAACAATGCAAAGCAGTGGGCAGCGATTGACGCGGAGCGATAGACGCTGAGCGTCAGACGCACGAGACGCTTCTGGCAAAACGGGCCTTTAAGATATTGGAAATTTCAGTATTTTCATAAGAGATTTCAAAATACATTTTTTTGAAATTATACTCCTTTGATTATTGATTTTTTTAATTTAGCCTAAAATTGTATAAACATTTGTACAGTGATGTTCATTGAGGCTGCCCGCAACTGTCAATACCAACGTTGGTCTGGGAGGAAAGCTGTTAATTTATTATGACGATCCTTCACATATTTATGTCAACCAATTAATCATCGAGTAAACCGGGAACCAGAACACTGCGAGGACTCTCCGCGGATGAAAATCAGGACGGTAAATTTCACTTTTACATCAAATTTTACAGCGACGATTAGTAACGTGAGAGTGAGAAGGAGAAGGAGCGAGGAGATAAAAGAGTGACCGAGACCTAGAGCGAGTCCACAGTGTCCTTGACCGCCGCTCGGGCAACATCCTCCAACCTGCACACGATGGCACGACGACGACTACAGTCCGCGACGTTGCTGCTGGTGGTGATGTTGAGTGTGGCCGGGGCCTTGCCCCAAGGCCGCGCCCTGGACAACGAGGTCTCCCATCATACACTCGCCTCCGCCCCAGCCCCAGCCCCAGCCAACGAGGAGACTCTCATGACCAAGCTGAACGCCAAGTGTAGTCAGAGGGACACTTCCTCTTGTCTCATGCTCAAGCTGGTCACATACATGAACCGTCTTCTCAAGAAGTCGTCCATCGTCGTCGGCGACTCCTTGGTCATCACGCAGACCTCCGCCGTGGTGGAGGAGGAGTCACCCATCTCCAGGAACCTCCAGGACGACGGTTCCGACGAGAGCCAGCTGGGACTACTCATCGCCAACAAACTCTGGAACTTTGTTCGGTCTAGGTAAGATACTGCATAGAATTTTGTTGGATATTGCTTGTATTTTTTTTAGTAATATAAGCAGTGAGTGAATTTCGTCGATTAAATTACATTAAATTGACAAGCTTTATTTTATTCTAGACCGATTTTAATGGATGTAACTTTTGAGTACCGATAGTAACAATTTAACATCTGAAATGTAATTAATGTACTCATCAAAAACAATAGTTTATTGGTACTTTTCTTTGCGTTTCTTCATTAGCCGATTCTACCTACTGTATTGATTTTTTTACATTTTAGCGAATAGGTCTTGCCATGAGACCTACGGTAATAGCTTATTCCGGGACCGATTTATTTTTTCGTTTTGAGGTCCCCAAAGGCCTAAAACACCATTCGTTCCAATTCATATAATATATTATATATATATCTTAGAGAATTTCCCTATAGGGAAGTAGCTATTACCGTAGGTCTCATGGTAAGACCTAGGCCCGGGACCGATTTACTTTTTCATTTTGATTTCCCTAGAGGCCAAAACACCATTCGTTCAAATTTTTATATATGTATATATGTTTGAGTCCGGCCGGACGATAACTTGAGCAATTTTTTTCCGATTTTGATAAAATTTTGTTTGAAGGTGTAAAGCGGGATAACCTTGAATGAGTTCGCGAACCAGCATGATCGGACCATGGGAACGGGGTTTAACGGGGGGTTTTATGGGGTAAAAATGTTGTTTTTCTCATTTTTTACCCATAAAACATAAAATTTAACAATTTTTCTCCAGCCCCTTTTAAAGAGCTTAAAAACAAAAATAATTTAGTATGCCAAAGTGTTTTTGTACGGTGAATGGTTACAGAGAAAATTCAAAAAATTGTAAATTTAAAATTCCTATGTTATTCTTATGGAGAATATTGTAAAATGTTGTAGTTGGCTTGTTTATGGATATATTTTGATCAAACTTGGCGGATTTATTTATTTCATACTAAGCTATTGATATTTTAATAAAAAAACACACTTTATTAGTTTCCCTGTAGCAGCTAACCTAGGTACTCGAAACATAAATGTTAATTTCATACATTAATCGAAAATCAATCCAAGCAAATGGAAATTCGCTTAGTCGGCAGGTTTGCTGCAGCGGGGGTATTATATATATTTAATAATATAATTAAAGAATTAAACATTACAGTAGTACCGTTGAAGTTAATATTTGATTGATGATCTGATTTTTATGAAATTTGTTATGAACGTGTAAACCTACATTAATTCGAACGAGTTTGCAAACCAGCATGATCGGACTATGGGTACAGGGGTTATAAGGAAATTTTACGGGGTAAAAATTGGCTTTGCCATTTTTCACCCTAAAACATGAACTTTTGCAATTTCTTTTCAATCTATTTTGTAGGGCTCAAAAAACTAATAATTTAGTATAATGAAACGTTGTTGTATACCTAACGGTTACAGAAAAAAAATCCGAAAAAGCGTGAATTTAAAATTACCATTTTATTCTTATGGAGAATAAAGAAACTGTTGTAGCTTGCTTGTCTATATACATATTTTCATGAAATTTTGAAATTTTTAAAAATTTTATTTTAAGCTATCAATATTTTAATCAAAATCACACCTTGTTATCTTCCCTGAGGCAGCATACTTACGTTCTCATTAATCATTAATGATATTTAGGCTAAATAAGAAATAAATCTAACAATTATAAGGTAACAATTTAGTGTAATTCCAGCCAGGTAAATGGAAATTGGCTTGCTCTGCAGTTTTGCTGTGGCGGGGGTATTATTATTTTTATTTTTGTAACTTTAACGTACTTAAATTATACAGGGTGATTGGTACTCAGTGTGACAAAAATGTTTTGGTGTAAGTACAAAGTAAATGCAGTGTGATGATGCATATAAAAGGTTCCAAGTCTAAAAATTAGCTTCCCAAAGAACTATTTTATGTTTTTTCAAAAATATCTATGTTTTTAAACATAATACAGTACAGCTATTTCTCAATTACCTATACATGGATTTGAGTAGATAATATCATTTTCGTGTTCTACATTAAATTTTGTACAGTTGTAAAAACTCCGTTGTAAATAGATTCAAAGATAAAAATTAAGAGGTTTGATAAAAATAAAAATAAAACATTGGTCTATTGCATTTGTTCACACCCTGTATAAAAGGAAGTGTCCGAATATGGTAAAAACTGCGCCATTTTATAAGCTTTCCAACCATATGCTACACTATTGAGCTTTATGTCTGCTTATGTACGCTTTAGTGGTTTGAAGACTACAAAACATGGTGTCTTTAACATATAAAACCTAGAAAGTCGGTGTGTATTAAACAAAAGTTGTATTTTTGTTTCAGCTTGAACAGTAAAAAAAGTTCCCTGTTTTCTGGTATTCAAACCACTAAAACAAACATAAGAATATCTAAACCTGAAAAGTGTAGCATATGGTTGGAAAGCTTATAAAATGGCGCAGTTTTTAACATACTAGTGTCCCTGTTGCTCGAATTCGAGCAAATGCTAAGTATACAGGCATTATTTTAAAACGAATTTCAACCAAGTCAGCAAATGTTTGTAGCAAACTGTTAATTTAGCAAACTTATTGACTGTTTACAATTATTATATGCTCTTCTTCTTACTTTTGATTCCTGACAACAGCTGGAGTTTCATAAATTTTTTTCCAATGTTAATTTTATCGAAAAATACAAAACTTAAAAGGGCTCCAGGGCCTAACTCTCTCATTATTTCCTTAAAAAGAATGTTTCCTGCACAACTTCACGTTACGTTCTTTCCAATGACACCAAAAACATGACAATCGGTTCAGTAGTTTCGGAGGAGTAATTGTCACAAAAAATCTGCTTGCGTATTAAATAAGTACTAGTGTCACTGTTGCTCGAATTCGAGCAATTGCTGAGTATTACAGGCGTTATTTTAAAACGAATAACAGGCATCATTTCTTATGACTTTAAAAGATTCGACTCAAAGATTATGGAAATACTCAAGATGTACATAACAGATTATATCAATTTGTCCAGGCTCTCTCGGTTTTTCCATTGTAATATTTACGCCAACCCAAATTCAAATAGTAAATATTTAATTTTAACTAAGTCAGTAAATGTTTGTAGCAAACTGTTAAATTAGCAAACTTATTGACTGTTTACTATTAACATATGTTCTTCTTCTCACTTTTAATTTCTGACAACAGCTGGAGTTTCATAACAATTTTATCTCCCATGCTAATCTTATGGAGAAATACAAAACTTTAAAGGGTCCTAGGGAATTACTCTCTAATTATTTCCATGAAAAGATAGTTTCCTGCACAACTTCACGTTACGCTCTTTCCAATGACACCAAAAACATGTCAATCGGTTCAGTAGTTTCGGAGGAGTAATTGTCACAAAACCCCTGCTTGCGTATTAAATAAGTATATATGGATAGGATTCGGACACTTTCTTGTATACAGGGTGTGGAAAAATTCAATAGACCAATGATTTTTTAATTTTTATCAAACATATTAATTTTTATCTTTGAATCTATGCAATTTACAATGGAGTTTTTACGATTGATCCACCGTCATTTGCTATAATTCTTATTCAAAATGTAATGCAGAACGCGAAAATGACATTATATACTCAAATCCATATACAGGTAATTGAGAAATTGCTGTATTAAGTTTGAAAACATGGTTATTTTTTAAAAACATAAAATAATTTTTCCTACAGTCACCCGACAAAGTTGGCTTCCTTGTACTGTTTATAGTACAAAACGCTGCTAATTGCTGCATATTTATACTTTGCCGTACGGTTTATACTTTGTCGTACGGTTTATACTTTGCCGCACATCAGGATTCCAACGAAACAACACAAAACAGCGTGGTTCTATTATGCACATAATCCGTGTACGCTTGGAAATAGGTTGGCAACACTTAAAGATAATAATACTATGAGCAGCTGATTGACTATTATAACTACGATTTAACCTGTCATTTCGTGTTTATAGTTTCGGTATTTCTGAACTTTCTGGACTTTTCTTTTAAACATTTTTAAAACATTCCTACGATCTTAATAAACAAGAAAATAACTTTAAAGCATTTTTTTAGGCCCGGAAACCACTTAAAATTACGAAAACATACGGAACTATATTCTCAAAACGCGGAGCACATTTCTTGCCGAGAAAAAAATAGCAGAGTGATACGGACCGGGTACTACTTTCTCTAGGGCACCTATTTGTGTTGCCAGCTGAACCTATAAACTTGTTGAATAGTGTTTGAAAGACTAATTATTTATATGCTTTATAGTGACTGTATGAAAAATATAATGTGCAACACGAGTGAAAAAGGCCTTTGCTGCACTCAAGATCATTCCACACTCGCCTGCGGCTCGTGCGTAAACATTGCTCTCGTGTGCAGCAAAGTGCCACTTTCACCACTAGTTACAAAAATAACTATTACCTACGACCGTTTTTTAAAGTAGCCATTTCAGTTTAGTTCTTAGAATTGAAAAGTTTCACTTTACAGCTGTTTACTTTCATATCCGCATAGTTTCATTTCATATCCGCATAGTTTTCTCATATCCACACAGGTAACGGACCAATGAGGTTCAAGTATTGAGAGAAAAGAATTAAAATTGTAATGCTTCGAACGTCAACTAATCAGCTGATCAGCTGATCAGTTGACCAGTTTAATTGTTGATCCGACTTGTTCATGTTGATACTCGCGTATTCTTAATTAAGTTGGTGGAAGTCCAAAAATAAATTAAATATTTGCCGAATTGTACCTGATACAATATTATTTATGGTAAGAATTCTGCTAGCAATGTAATATTTAACGAAGTTTAAAAAACACGTAATTACAGGAAATCAGCTGATTATACAACAAGTCGTTGCATCACTTTCAGTGGCAATGACAATACACGAAAACATAACCTCTCTAAAAAGTTATCATTAGTGATTGTTAGTAATTAAATCCAGATTGATAGTAATAAAAAAACGGTCGTAGGTAAAGTAGTGTACGCAACTCGCGTTAATAGTCTTTACGACACTCGTAGAAGTTGTTAAGGCACTCGCCAAGGCTCGTGCCTTAAATTTTCTACTCGTGTCGTAAAGACTCACTTAACGCAACCGTTGCGTAAACTACTATTTCGGGAAGCTAGTTTTTAGACTTGGGACCTTTTATATGCATTATCACACTTCATTTACTTTGTACTTACAACAAAAAAATTTGTCACACTGAGTACCAATCACCCTGTACTTAATCTAATTCAAAATAAGTTGTTTAACCATGCGTTTATAAGGCACAATTTAGTATCGTAATACTATCGTGGAACGAATTGTTTCCGTTTTCAAGCCCAAGCCATACTCATGTTTTGTGCACTAAATCAAACCTTTGGATGTAAAAACTATCTTTATAAGTTTAATATAAAAAATTAAATATGAGTTTTAAGATTAAGTGTGGCTAATTTAATTACAAAAGTAAGCTATATGGCTTATAAACATACACAGTTTGTGTTTCCAATTCTATTCATTGCAAAATAATGTCAATATTTTTATGCACTGAAGTACAAAATAAATTACTACGCCCCTAATGAAAAAATTATCCAGTCTGAATCTAAAATCAAATAAGCAATCCAAACCTTAAGCGGACAGTATCCAAACTTAATTTACAAAACTGCTTGTCTTAAAAACATAAAAACTATAATTTTCAATTTTAGTTATAAATTGTATTTATAAAACGATCTATAAAGAATTTTACTGTATTTTTATTCGATGAGTCCTATTTAAAGTTTGACCGATTAAATAGACGCCGACTCTGCAAAAGAGCATACCGATTAGACTTTTATTTACTGCTCTGAAAGCATCTTTAGCCTGGTCATAATTGTTTACACTACACAAACTAGTTGTTCTGCCCGTGCCTTGCCACGGGGAGAGAACACAGGGAAGATTTTTTAGCGATTCTTCCCTGCCTCGTCCAATGCAAACTGCTGGTTGATTAAGCACTTATTCTTTGTGTAAATCAATTTGATCAATGGATCAATCCCAGTCACAAGGGAAAATAATCGAACTCTTGATGCAATATAGAAATCTATGGTACCTTAAATCAAAGGGTTAACTCAAGGAAAAGTAAACAAACAAGCAAAATCAATAATACCCCCACTGCAGCCAAATCTAATTTCCATTTGTGTGACTTTATTTTTAATTAAATCTAATTCAATGACATTAGGTTTAACGAGTACCTAGGTTAGCTGCCTGCAGGGAGGGTAACGAAGTGTGATTTTTAGGAAAATATTATTAGCTTAGAATGAAATAAATAAATTTGCCAAGTGTGATAAAAATCTATCCATAAACAAGCAATATTACAACAGTTTACTTATCATACTACGATTATAGGTAAGGAAGTTTGGATGTATGGATGGATGGATGTTTGTGACAAGTAAACGCGAAAAATACTAATATACTACTAAAATACTAACTGACAAGATTGAAATTTGGTATGATGATAGCTGACATTCCCGATTAACATATAGACATATGCTTTCCTCAAAAATCCTTTCAGGCACCACCCCAGTGGCTCTGGCTCTGGAGTTTCTCATGTTAACCTCTTATGAGTATTCATATTTAAATAAATTAAAGAATTTTGTCAGCCGTTTCAACTGTACAAGTTGGTTCTATGATATTAAATAACAACAAAAAGATGAGGTACACTATGAGAACTTACTTTTTATCCATGGTTTAGGTGCAGTGGTAGAACATTAGAACTATGGTAGATGTGTGCTACACCGTGGCTACACTATAGGATACCGTATAAATTAAAAGACAAAATTTTCTTAAGCCGTCCCCTCCCATAACTGCAATAAGCATACTTATATGCCAACCCCGTACGAAGGCCGGGTACTCTGCTAGTATATATGTAAATATATATACATATATGTGTGTGTATATATGAATTTGAATTGATGGTGTTTTTGGCCTCTGGAGACCTTAAAACGAAATACCCCCGCCGCAGTAAACCTGCAGACGAATTTCCATCTGCCTGATTGGATTTAAAATAAAATGTCTCCTTAAAAATATCACATTTATTCCCTATTTAAACAGAATTAGTTTAATAAGTACTTAGGTTTGCTGCAACAGGGATGGTAAAAGTTTTTTTTTAATGTAAAATATTAAAAGGTACTGTAGTTTAATAGGTACTGAAAATTCGCTAAAAGTAGCCTAAATCGGTCGCGGGTCTTATAATGAGACCTGCGGTAGATTATAGAAAAATTCGCTAAAAACAAATCTAACAGCTGGTGTATCTTCAATGTTTTAACAGTCCTTTAATTAATTGATGTTCCTCCCCTTTGGAGAGGGGTTATCGAAAAACTTATTTTTCGGGGAAGTTTCACAGCAAGACCTTTCATTCAAGTATGCGATTGATAGGTGTGCGGCTTATGGTTTTCTCAAAAGTTCAAATCCATCCTAGTTTTATATATAGATAGATTTATTTTAAAATCAATTCAGGCAAATGGAAATCCGCTTAATCTACAGGTTTGCTGCGGCGGGGGTATTTTTTCTTTTAATGGGAAACCACAAATGTTTCAATACCTTTCAACCGTAATTTTTACAGGAATGTGGGTTGTACTGTTTTGTTTATAGTTATACTAAAATTTAATGAAAATCTATTGAGCCATTTTTAAATCCAATTTTCCGTTATTTATGAGAAAACTAGCTTAACACAAGAATAACATTTTTTTGTACTTACAATAATTATCCTTATTGTCACAAATTTATGATATAAACATTTCAACAACGATTGACTTAATTCTTTACAAAGAACGAAAACACAAACAACACACACACGTAACGATTTGATTCGAGCCCTTTGGATTGGATTTTGGATTTCTTGTATTGACTTGAATTTGACATAACTGTAACTCACTCCACTGCACTCAGATAACTCATACTCACTCAACACGACGATCTCAGTCAGTACATTTTCCTTCCACCATGGGTCAGTGCGATTGACTCTCAGCTGACCTTTTTTAACCATGTCAAACAGATAAGCAAATGTGTTGTTGGAATAGTTATTTGTGCAACTAGTGAGCAATTGCACTTTGCACTCGAGTTGCACATTATATTTTTCCTACCGTTACCTTAAAACAAATAAATTGGTTAAGAAACGTAACATATTTTTGCACAGAAGTGAACTTAAATATTAAATTTAATGATACAACAGTACAACAGCTGACCAGCTGATTTACAGCCGGTGCTGCCAACGTATTTCGCGCGCATACGACCTTGTCGGCATGTTACGCGCTCACTATTTCGTGCCTTCACGTTGCAAATATGGAGTGAGGCCTGCCATACACGTTCCGTCCCGGCCTTAAGGCCTGGCCTTGAGGCCGGAACTGCACAGTTTGGCCGGAGTCGTGACCTCTCCACACACGCTCAGTCCGGAACTGCACAGTTTGGAGTTTTTGAGACGATTTTATTTTTTTTTCAACTCTTTTCTAAACGCACTTCTTAATTTTTTTTTTAACCACAGTGTCTTTTGTAACTTTTGGGTCCGCCTTCTTCACAAAATCCAATAATTCTTGATAGGTTGCTTCCCTCATTTCCTTGTTGTGGAATTCTTTGTTTTTTATTTTCCAGATGCATTCGTGGCCTTGGTATTTCTCTATGAATTCGAGTGTCAAGTCTCTTGACCAGGTAGACATGATTAATGTGAAGTACTTAACGAAATCACTACACAACACTACAACGCCAAAATGCGAGAACTATATCAACAAAACAACAAACAACACAACTCCGATTATGCTTTCACCAGACGGACGATGAAGAAAGGATGCGAATGCGAAAATGCTTAAAATTTATTGGGGGAGGGGAGAAGCAGCACTGTCTTGGACTGCGGGATTCGCCATACACGTTCAAATCGGCCTCAAGGCCGGGCCTGGCCGGATGTGTTTCACGTCCGGCCGTCCGGCCATCGATCTGCCTGAAGGAATCGACATACACGTTCAGTTTTTCCTTCAGTCCAGGACTGTACAGTCCGGAAAACCGTATACTGAAGGAAAACCGGAACGTGTATGGTAGGCCTGAGACAAAGTAATTAGAGTGAGACAAAGTAATTAGAGTGAGAAAATCCTAACATTGTCTCACTGATGAGCGAATTGGCCACTTTGCTTTCCAAAATCAGTGAGAGAACATGTACATTGTTAGGTAACTGTAGGAAAAATTAAAAGTTCTTAATAGGCTTAGAACATTGCTCCCAGCAAACATCAAGTTGAGGTAGGTCAAATACCTGATTTCCCCTACCTTAAATTTCTGCCTACCTGTTTTTGGATGCAGTTTAACACAAGAACAGATCACTATACTACATAGGCTACAGAATTGCTCTCTAAGGTTCGTATACAACCTTAAAAAATATGATCATATCACAATGTCGAATACAATTTCCATCCAGGAGAGCTGTGATAAGCAGGTTGCCTGTATCGTCCACAAGACACTTGTCACTGAGGCACCGCAGTATTTAAAGGAAAAACTGAAAGCGAGGTCGGCCGTGAGAGAGCGCAGAACTAGACAGGACTTGTTGCTTCCCTTGATGCTGGTAGAAGGGGATTTTCTTACTTCCGGCCGGCTCAGTACAATGCACTTCCTTGTACACCAAAATCACTACAAAATATTTAAAACTTGCCTGAAGAATTAGTAATTACATTTTTATTTTGTTTCGTAGTGTTAAGAATTTTTGTTTAGTTTTAGTCCTGACTTGAGTCAATTTGTAAGACAGTATAGTTAGGCTACTGAAATTCGCTCATGAATAAGGACCTTATTTATTTATTTACTGTGTGAACAAATCTTTGCCAGCAAAACCTCATTGACCACACAATACCCCCCTACGAAATATACTATTTAACTACGTTACTATACATATTCTTTTTTGAAAGATTTCCCAGGGCGATAGTTATTTGTGGTTCTGTTAGGTTACCTTTCGAAAGAAAAAACGAATTTACAAAGTTATATACATGCTGTGTTCAGGTCCATCAAGTGGTCAGTGCTGCCAGAGGCGGACCTAGTGTTGTCAGCTACTCCGGAGGACGATGGAACACTCAAGCTGGGCATGAACATACGAGCCGGCAAAGCTTTGGAGACAGGTAGGCACAGAAACACAATTATTAATCTAATGTTACCTAAGAAGATCTATTGAAAACAAGATTGGGCTTAAACTATATGTTTGCTTGACTATGGATACAACTATAGACATCCCGATCCATGTTAAAGCTATAGCCGGTTTTAGAATAAATATGGACGTATTTAATTGAGTTGATTTGAACCACCGATAGTATGCGCTGGGGTAAATTACACTACTGGTGTCTAACGAAAAAGCCAACTTCACTTTATTCAAGCCAAATTGAAAGTAATCAGGACACCTTAGCATTTTTTATTTCACATCTATCTATCTATAAAGTATAAAAGAGGATGTTTGAATATTTGTTTGGCAGTGATAAACTCAGACACCGCTGAACCGATTGCCACGAAACTTGGTACATACGTGTAGAATTTCATGGAATAGGTTTATACACCATCAATTTCGTGATCCGTCCAATCGGCTCCGCCCCAGTGGCTCTGGAGTTTCCCATGTTAACCTTATGAGAAATGGAATTAATGAATCTTAACAGCTGTTTCAATTAAACAAGTTGGTTCTGTTCTATGATGTTCAATAGCATTAAAGTTACAAGGATTACCAACAGGGGGCAGCACTATTATTTCTTTTACATTTATGACAACAGCTAATTTGCAACCAAAAGGTGAGTGAGCGTAGCGAACGAACTTCAAATTGGAGGCGAGTTAGCGTAGCGAACGAGCTAACCTGAAGGCAAGTGAGCGTAGCAAACGAGCTAACCTGAAGGCAAGTGAGCGCAGCGAACGAGCTCCAACCTAAAGGTGAGTGAGCGTAGCGAACGAACTTCAACCAGGACGTGATTGAGCCATGCGAACGAGATCATCTTGAAAATTAAGAAGTTAAACGGGGCAAAGCCCGCGGGTTACAGCTAGTATATATATAATACGCTAAGCCGATTTTTGTAAACAGAACTCCTCCCACATTTTTGGACCAATTTTGATGATTAAAATGTCAAAATAATGGCCCTGATCTGAAGTTTTGCAAAGTGTTTTAGGTTTTTTGAAATCATTATTAGTTTGGGCAGGATCTTCCATCAAAGTTGGGTTTTCTCCCATAAGATTAACATGGGGGAATCTAAATATTTAATTGGAAATTTTGTCTCCACTAATTTGAGAGAACGGCTGTGCGTAGAAACTTGGTAGAGGTGTCAAAAGAAAGGTCTTGGTCTGTAGATCATTTATCAAAAGAAAAAAGAAGTAAATTCCCTTAGGGCTCTGCTCCGACTTTTCAGAGAGGTTACTTCGATGTATTCATTCAACTTAGTGAAAACATAATATAGATATGTATACAAATAAGAATTTGAACTCTTAGAGAGCCTTGGAATGTTACAAGACTAACGAAAAAGGGTGTGCATGTTTACTAGCGCTACTCAGCAACAAAAACCATTTAATTTATCTCTAAAAAATATATTCTTAAAGTGCACTGAGCAGCAGTATAAAAAAATCTCTGTAACTTACCTTTATAGTTACAAAACGCTGAAACTCGCATTGTGACATTTTATAATTCGGATCATACTTCTCCAACAGATAATTCATCTGCAGAAGAAGTTTATTGTGCTCTTACCGTGTCTAATAACATACAAACACAGAAACCTTGCATAAAATGGTACCTATCTTGACAAATTATTTGCAGTGGCCTATATTACGGACCGTGGCCCACTGGGTTGGTAACATTATTGAAAATAACACGACATTTTGGCTGTAAAAAATAGCACAATGAGTAAATACTATTAAAGCAGCTACTGTCATGACAGCGAGATCATATTCCTTTTAAACTAGATCACATCATCCTTTATAGGATACGTTGATTAACAATGCATGTAAACGTCAATATTTACGTAACAGCCAATTTACAGTATTTTTTTGGTTTTTGGAAATGCCACATTGCTATGTTATTTACATTATTTTCTGCCAATGAAGCCGCGCGACCATATAAACGTGGAGGCCCCAGTTCAAGAATAAAAGCCAACTTCACTTCAAGTATATTCCACTACACCTAACATTCCGTAGAGAGATTATATTGACAACTTAATGTAGGTATTTGATAAAGCTGAGACAACTAACTGACATCCCCCATGTCAATGAATTCTAGCTTTAACAGTAACCCTACAACCAATTTCTCAAAACTATGATAGAGTGTTGTTCATTGGCACAGAAGTACGATATGAACTGACCCGACGTGACGAAGGAAAAATCAAACTTACACTGTAACGGATATACCTCCCTTTGAAGTTAGAACGTGTCTTCCCAACAAACAGATATTTTTCAAATAAATCATAGATTAATCTGCATTACACTGATGAAATCACGGAAGTGTTTAGCTACAAAAGATCCACCAATACGATTTTAATACTATTTAAAGGCTCTTCCAAAAAAAGAGATACCAGATAACATACTATAAGTTCGGCCGCTTAGAAAGCGACCTCCTCCAGCATTGGTTTAGCGTTAGCGCGCAGGTCGTTTTCTAAGCGGCCGAACCATAATAATAACTCCGATGACGTACGGTACGGAATATATTTTATTCGTTTAATGATCAACCATTTTTGGTAACTAACGCAATTAATATCATTATTGTTTTTACACTTATTACTCTTTAAACAAAAAACAATTCTAAATGCTCAAAATATGTATAACTTCACTTAATTTATCGCAGTTAGATGAATTAGCGTAATCCTTGAAAGTAACCGTCGATTTCGACGGGTCTCGCCTAGTAAACTATAATCAATAAGGAAAGAATATCGGTACCGTAGTTTGATTGATGTACTTTGTAATAAATAACAGGTTGTCTATTTAGTAGATGATAGGAAGTCAATGTTTTTAGGGAGCTAACATAAATATCATTAAGAATCAGTGAAAATGGTCATACTAAACATTAAACGATAACGAACGAATACGATTTGTCTTGCAAAATAATAAGATTTTCAACTGTAAGAATCAAGAAACTATTTTTCAGGTTTGAAGCAAACTGTTGTGATTGAATATGGCATTAGCTGAATCAAATTACGATACTACGCCCAATTAACCTGAGTTTTTTTTTTTCATTTTTCACAATCAATTAATTGTTTTCTATTGACATCCTATACTCTATACTGTAATACGAGTAACGTGTGTGGGAACAATGATTTCATAAGCAGCGCCAACGATCACCTCTAAATTGTTAGAAATATCTTACTTGTAGGCTAAAAGCAATATCTATGCTAGGCCCTGTTCTGGAAAAATTATTTTTTTCGTTAAAAACTTTAAATTAAATTGGAGTTTTTTACAAAGGCCTTATGTGTTGCCAAGTAGCCATGGCAGTTTTACTAATTTACAGCAAACATGTAAATACAAGACTCATACCATTATGGTTATGACAAACCATCTACATAACAGTACACTATCAAATTAGGCTAAAAAAACCGAAAAAAAGAAAATGACATTCCGATGAATACCATTGCGCATTGATTATATAAGACACTTAGCGCATATTACCATAGAGTACCTGGGGATCCTCCCTTCCCATAGCATTTTAGGATTGTAGATACCTTAATCTAATCGTCATAAACAGTTCCCACACTCCGGACCGCTCACCTTTACTACAGTATTTCCTTTACCACTTCCTACGTCACGGACCGGTTTCCTTACCTTCCCATAGCATTTTAGAATTGCAGATACTTTAATCTAATCGTGATAAACAGTTCCCGCACTCAGGATAGCTCGCATTGACTACTTACTTACTTCACCACTTCCTACGTCGCGGACCTGTTTCCTTACCTTCCCATAGCATTTTAGGATTGCAGATACCTTACCATCCTTATGGAACAGCTGAAGCCACTTTTATTGTTAGTTCTGTCTGGTTTTCTGTAGATGTCGTGTTTTGTTTACAATTTGTTTCTATTATTTTAGGGTTAGTTTCTCATTATTTGTGTCTCACTGTTTGGTTATATAGCCAACGATAGTAATATAGTACGGTAATATAGTGAACGAGTTATATTTATGATTAAATAGTATTATTTGGTTAAACGAGGTTTTAAATTACTGAAATAACAAGAAACAAATTGTAAACAAAGCAAGACATCTACAGAAAACCGGACAGAACCAACAATAAAATTGGCTTCAGCTGTTCCATAAGGATGGGAAATCTACCTTAATCTAATCGTCATAACAGATCCCACAGTCCGCACTGCTAAGTTAGCCTTTACTACAATGTATGGAGTAAGCTTCAGTATAATCATTGCTCAATAGTAACAAGTGATGTTTTTGCTTTTGTACTGTATTTTGTAATATCCTTATATATAATACGTGAAGGCGATTTCTTGAAAACACTACTCCTCCGTTAATAATGGACGGATTTTTACAAACGACGTGTCAAAATAAAGTATTTTTTGTGTAGACGCCCCCTTTCACCAATTCATGTAATAAAAATCCTCGGGCTTTGCCCCACAGGCCATCAAAGTTGGATTTTCTCCCATAAGATTAACATGGGGGAATTTAAATATTTAATTGGGAACTTTGTCCCCACTAATTTGAGAGAACGGCTGGGCGTAGAAACTTGGTAGAGGTGTCCAAAGAAAGGTCTTGGTCTGTAGATGAGATATCAAAAGAAAAACTAAGCAAAATCCCTTAGGGCTCGGCCCCAGAAGCCTTTAAAGATCCCTCCACAGAGTTGTTTACATTTTGGTCATGTGAATAATACTTTTTAATAAAACAGCTGTTCATTTTTACTTTCTCCCCCTATACCATAGTATATGGAGAAAGTATTGTTTTCGTCAAAATTTTCGAGTTTGAGTTTTGAGTGGATATATTCGTTTTGGGTCCCCCTGGACCCAAAAAAGTGGTTTTCGAAGTGATGTCTGTGTGTGTGTGTGTGTGTGTGTGTGTGTGTGTGTGTGTGTGTGTGTGTCTGTGTGTCTGGATGTGTACAGAGCTAGGGACTACACCTGTGGTCCGATTTCAATGAAATTTGGTATGTAGGTTCTAATCCATGGTATCTCCAGGCGTTTTTTTCATTTTTTTTTAAATTTTTATTTTTAATGGGGATTTTCCCATAAAAACCCATAAAAAACTGGAAAAATCGGATTTTCTCAAAAATGGCCCGAACGATTTTGATAAAAATGTAGTATGTTATAGTCCTTTATATTTTAAACAAAATGATACAAATCCCATTTCTTTAAAAATTACGGTTCAAAAGTTATGGTAAATTATGTTATTTTCCCATAAAACCCCTATAAAATAACAAAAAAATAGGATTTTAGACAAAAATCCGGTTTTGATTTAACAGAGTATGTTATGATCCTTACAATTTTGATAGTTTTTGTCATTTTTTAGAAAATTATTTTTTTAATGGGGATTTTCCCATAAAACCCCATAAAAAACTGGAAAAATAGGATTTTCTCAAAAATGGCCCGAACGATTTTGATAAAAATGTAGTATGTTATAGTCCTTTATATTCTAAACAAAATGGTACAAATCCCATTTCTGTAAAAATTACGGTTCAAAAGTTATAGTAAATTATGTTATTTTCCCATAAAAATCCCCATAAAATAACGAAAAATCGGATTTTCCCAAAATTGGCTAGAACGATTTTGATAAAAATTTAGTATGTTATAGTCCTTTAAATTCTGAAGAAAATTGAACAAATCCGATTTCCGTATATTTACTCTTACCGCTTACTCATGAGAAAGGTTGTTGACAATCTTATGGGAGAAAGTATGTGTCAGAATGCTGATACCGTTTATTTAAATTGTATTTCAAACCACACATATTTATTGGGTTACTGAATTGTACCAAATAAGTATTTGCAATGTTATTTTCTGATTTTAAAATTAATTTTCCTCTTTATCATGTCATGTTTTGCAATAAAACGTTCTATTACGAAATCAGTGGAAAATCCTCACAGAAATTCTTAAATTATTTCTTATTGAACTATCTTATATCTATTGTACGGGTTGGTGTCTGCCTTTTTCACCACTTTTGCCTAAATTTTATCATATTATTCTACACATATCAAATATTCATGTAGAAATATCTGCTCTTATCAAGTCTAATAAAATCCAAACATAGAAACATTGCCTAAAATGGTACCCATCTTGACAAATTATTTGCACCTGCCTATATTACGGACTTTGGCGCACTGGGTTGGTAACATTATTGAAAATAACACGACATTTTGGCTGTAAAATATGGTACAAAGAGAAAATACTATTTTAGCAGCTACTGTCATGACAGAAAGGTCATATTCCTTTTAAACTAGACCTCATAATCCTTTATAAGATACGTTGATTTACAATATGTAAACGTCAATATATACGCAACAGCCAATTTACAGTATTTTTTCTTTTTGGAAATGTCCCATTGCTATGTCATTTGCATTATTTGTTGCCAATGAAGCCGCAAGACCATATAAACTAGGAGGTCCCTAACAGTTTAAGAATAAAAGCCAACTTCACTTCAAGTATTCCACTACACCTATCATTCCGTAGAGAGATTATATTGACAACTTTATGTTATTGATAAGTCTGAGACAACTAACTGACATCCCCCATGTCAAGGAATTCCAGCTTTAACAGTAACCCCACAATCAATTTCTCATAACTATGCTAGAGGGTTCATTCATTGGCACAGAAGTACGATATGAACTGACGCTACGTGACGAAGGAAAAATCAAACTTACACTGTAACGAACATACCTCCCTTTGAAGTTAGAACATTTCTTCCCAAAAAATATTTTCTTTTCAAATAAAATCATATTACACTGATGAAATCACAGAAGTGTTTAGCTACAAAAGACCCACCAATACGATTTTAATACTATTTAAAGGTTCTTCCAAAGGAAGAGATATCATATAACATACTAATAATAACTCCGATGAGTCAAATGACGTACGGTATGGGAAATATTTTAATCATTGAATGATCAACCAAATTTGGCAACTAACGCAATTAAAATCATTATTGTTTTCACACTTACTACCCTTTAAACAATGCTAAATGCTCAAAATATGTATATTTCACCCAATTTATCGCAGTTAGATGAATTAACTTAAGCCTTGAAAGTAACCGTCGATTTCGACGGGTTTCCCCTAGTCTAGTATATTGTGTGTAGATGCCTTTATGAACACATGTGTTAGAACTTACAAGTCTTTTGTTTACTTTTTCCTTGTTATTTAATTCAACCAACATGGTTACTTAGCAACCCATAAGACTAATGTTAAAAAAATGTGACTTTCAGTTTTATTTTTCTACGTAATTAGATTTTTGGTTGCAGTTCTAACTGCAGTAAACTTGTTTTTAGGCCAGGAATAAACTATTTTCAACATTTGAAGAAAATCGTCGGAGCCGTTTTCGAGATCTTTATGCAAGCAAGCAAGCAAGCATACAAGCAAACATTACTCATATTAGAATATAGGATAGGATAAAACATACTCCCAAAATGAGGTGAAATTTTGAACAACGTTCATACTCTTAATGTTACAGGAAGAGGGAAAATGAAGAATATGGGACCAGTGATCGCAGCTGGTATCATGAAGATTGGAATGGTAGGAGTGCTGGCATTCAAGGCGTTGGCTTTACTTGTGGGGAAGGCTCTCCTAGTATCCAAACTGGCTTTCCTGCTGGCAGCAGTGATAGGGCTGAAGAAGTTGCTCTCCCAGGAGAGACATGTCACCTACGAGGTGGTTGCACATCCTCACCACTCTCACAGCGAGGTGCACAGCTCAGGAGGACACCATGATCTGAGCTCTGGATGGGGACGTAGTCTGGACAACAGCGACGCCCATACACTCGCTTACAGCGCACATGTACCAGACACTGCGGTAGTCCACTGGTAGGTGGCAAGGGAGTGTGGGTAAGGGGAGGATGGTACAGTGAATATGAGAGCAATCCTTGACATTAAACTTTCAAGGGTTTCTGTAAGTTCAATCTCCAGAGACAATCAACAGTAATTGGACAGTACACAAAAAATAGCAACAAAAGGCTGGATTTTTTAATGTGGGGGCCTGAGAGACATTATAGGATCTTTTAGGGTTCACAACTAAAAATATTGAAAAATAAACAGCAATATTGTATATCAGGGTGGGGTCCCAGGAGGGATTGGGCAGATGTTTCCTTTCAAAAAATCGGGGTGAACCCCGTTTTAGCCTGAAAGATTTTACGCTTTTAAGCTTCAAATCCTGAGGCCATCACTATTGTATTTTGATTTTTTGCTATGAAAGTCGTCCAATTATAAACAAAGGAGGTGCTCGCCAAATGCCATGTAAATTGAATGAAAATTGTGACTGCTTTAAAGATCTTAAAGGTTTGAACGAGTCCCTGAAAAAGTTAACAGAGGGTAAATAAAGGAATCTACTATGATGCTAGAACTAAGGACTTATTAAGCTAGTTACTGAAAAAGCCAATGCTCGTTTTAACTGCCTGCCGGTGCAGTTGGGCATTGCCCACTATGATGGTCCCAGGATTAAGACTCAATTTGCTTTATATTTTTTTACTAGTACCATAAACTTGAAACCTACATATTATTATGAGATGTAAAATATAATCATAGAGAACAACCAACACAAGTAGCCTAGAGTTCTCATCCCGTTGTAAATTTTGAAGCTATAATTTTTCATGTCTGGTTCATGTCCGGTCACACTGATCACTATTATCAACAAAATTTTTTTGATATTATTTTAGGAGTTTCATGATTTGTGCTTTACTGTTTGGTTATACAGTATAACTAGGGGACTAGTTATTGTTTATGATTAGATCGTTTTATTTGGTAAACGAGGTTAAAACTACTGAAATAACAAGAAACAAATCGTAATCAAAACACGACCTCTGCAGTGCACCGGACAGAACTAAGAATAAAATTGGCTCCAGCTGTTCCATAAGGATGAGAAATGTACTTAGTTGGGGAGTATGTTTTATCTATGATATAATTACTGTTTCAGATTGTCAACACATACCAAATGTTGAGGATCATGCCATGAGACAACGGACTGTTTCCATCCACAGCTGATTGCCCACTCCATATTTATTGTTATTTATGATTTAAGAAACCATCTCATCTTGGGCTGTAAATAGCTTTTTTAGTCAAATAGTTTATTTCCTAGAATGAAGTGATATTTCTTGTATTGTATATTGTACTTGGTATTTTGACTGATTTTCTTTTACTTTATCATAAAATATTGTATACAGTTGCTCAAGGACTTTGTCAAAGTTACACGATCTCTCTTTCCTTCTCTCTACACATTGTACCAAAGACCAGATCAATAAAGGCGAAGAAGAATAATTAATTGTCATGTGCTACATATCCAAAAGTCAATGCTATCGTGTAGTTATTGGTTTAAATATTTTAAAATTTTCTGTAATGAACTTCTATCAAGTACTCTCTCAGGGCTTTATGTGAAATATTGTAAATAATACTAGGATAGTTTTCCTTCCTTTGTATTTGTTCATACATCTGATTTGTAAATATTGAAATAAAAGTATTTATTTTAATTTTCTTTGTATTCAATTTTTTCTTTGTTTGCACTTGTTTCTCCACCAGTGGAACATTTCAATAAAGTAAATTTAAACGGTCTAAACCCATTAAGTAACAGTACCAGGGGACCGAGCACTGCTCGTGGTGCTTAATTTGATCGATACGAGAAAAAATAAACATAGGCCTAAATATCAACAATATCCCTGATATTATAAATATTATAACTGTATGATGTTGCTATACATGTATTTAATGTTGATGGCAATAAATGTATTTGATTTTATTGGAATATAGTATAAAATATTAGTGCAGTAGAAATAATCGAAAATATAGCTTAAGGTGGAGCTAATTGCTACACAAATGATTTTTGCTGTGAATGGTAGGTAGTATGCATCTAATCAACATACTAAAAATATACATCCGTACTGTGGCGCAAAATACGTTTTTTGGCCGCCATCTTGAAAAAGTGTAAACATTTTAATAATCGTAAAAATAACTTTTTGGGTATCAAATTATAGGAAATATAATGCTGCAAAATGTTATAATAGTGGTTATAAGCACTATTTAGAAATACGATCGTAGTACAAAATACCCCCGCAAACCTGCAGACTAAACAAATTTCCATTTGTCTTATTGATTTTCAATTGGTAAGTATTTTTACACAACCACCTCAATTAAATCTAGTAATTCAGTTTTAAAAATCTTTGTACAACTGATTTAATAGATTAATGATGACAAATATAAGCTTGCATAGCTTTGAGACCAAAATTATGAAAATCGGTCCGGTAGAAGAGCCAAACGAACTCGAAAAAAACAAATTTAACTCCCGTAAGTAATGTACAGGGAGGCAGTTTGTGCATAACTCAAAATATACGTCAAAATGAGTGTTGATGCTTAATAGCTAATCTATGGTGTGTCCATAGCTCTACTTTAAAGCCGGATTTACACTATGTAGAAAAACCTGCTATATAACTTTTCCTATATAACATTGCTTTATAACTTTTTCTGTATGAAAAATTTACAAACAATTTTAGTGATTCTGGTGCTCGTGCTATATGTTATATGTAGCACAACCTCATTCGCATTCCGTATCGAAATGTGCGCTGAAGAGACATTGTTCGTGGCAGCTATCGTGGTGATCTTGGAAGTCAGACGGGAGCGAAGATTTTAGCAAGTTTTAGGTTTGACCGCTTCTTGCTTCGAGACATAAGTACAGTGTAGCAGGACCTTAATGATGATGAATACGCTGACAATCCATAATTAAAACGCTAAATAAGGCGACGGTAACTTCAAACACGTTTTACGTATGATCACAACGCCGGTTGTCCACGGAACAGTTCAATTAAGTTTATAATATCATCCCGATCCTAGCAGTGTCACTTTCCGTTTCCAGTCCTTCCATTGTAAACGAAGATCGCTGAGCAAAACCGTTCGCACCCAAGAGGCTACAACTGTGAACTGTGTGCACTAAATGCTACATATAGCAGATGCTAGACGAAAAATATATGTAAATCATTGCTACATATGGCAATGTTAGATGTAGCACGTATTTCTTTTGATATTTACCGACTCCCGATGGATAGCACAATTTTAGGATCTACTACATATAGCAGTGTTATATAGCACTTTAGTAAAGGTAATTTTTCAACTTCTAGCAAATGTTATATAACATTGCTAGATGTTACACAAATCTGCTATGTAGCAGGTTTAGCTACATATAGTGTAAACCCAGCTTAAGGCCAAAATTATGAAAATCGCTCTGGTAAAAGAGCTAACCCGACTCGGAAAAGAAAAACCAATTATTTGTATAGATGGCAATAATTGATTTACCAGTATGCATAATCTAATCAAACGAAAAATGAGTTAATAATTTAACAGCTTATTGTTATAGTGTTATTTAATTGATTTTTCTTTGATTAAATATTGTTGTTAACAATTTGCATTTGTATTTAAAGTGTGTTTCTTATGTTAACACGTTCGCTACTGCAATAGTACGAAATTTTCCATTCACATGGACCAGCGACGCACATATGCGACGGCCGGTTTCCACCCATAGACTGCCGTCGCATATATGCGACGGCTAGTCACATTAAAATAGACTGCCGACGCATATTTGCGTCGGGGTTCTAATGTTATTAAAATGCTTATATCTTTGTAGTGGTCTATTTGAAGGCACTGAATTCCCTGCAGTGGTCTACAGAGATGTCTGACGCACAACTGCGTCGCTTGGTCTGTGGATATGATGATTGGTGACGTCATATAACAGTTGGAAAAACTGGCTTTTACTTTTCTGCATCACTGTATGTATGTATGCAGTACGTATGCTGCATTGTCCTATGTAGCTTTTATATTTGTTCAGTTATAAACTGTTCTTGAATAATCTGTTTATTTTTTTTACTTACTTTCACCTTAAAACACAAATAAATGAACTGTCGCATATATGCGACGCTTAGTCTATTTCAAGAAAACTATGATAATTTTCACTATTGTCTTCGCTGTAGACCGGGCGTCGCAAATATGCGACATTACTAAAGGTTATAAAAAATACAAAAAACAAGAATAATTTATATACAAACACGATTGTAGCGTATTACAATGTAAATGATCACTGTTTTACAGTTTTCGCCCGTGGTCTGTGTGTACTGTTATCCAAGTGACAGCCGGTCTGTGTGTAAGAGATAGGCTTGATAGGCTTGAAAGTATAATCCTAGACCTTACCAAAGACAGTAAGCTAAATCCAGATCTTGAAAGCACCCTGACCTCTCCAAAGCCTAATACTAAAAGCACCCCTAAAACAAAAAACCCACCGAAAAAACAGTACTCCACTGCCTTACAGAACTCACCGAATACTACAGCCCAAATTAAAAAGCCTACAGCACCAAAAACTGATGAAAAAGAATCTCCTCTCATTATTGGCGACTCCCTAATGCGACATACAACAAACCTTCTTCATAAACAAGACCCTAAAGCCTTCCCTGAATCCAATCTAATTGTAATGAGTGGAGCAAAAATACAGGATGCAAGTAATTTCCTAAGAAATCAAAACAAACTTCCAAAGAAAGTGGTGATACAGATAGGTTCAAATAACATTAACCGGTCTAAAACCCCAAACCATGTCATGCGGCCACTATGGCTAACAATAGAATTCAACCAAAAACGGTTCCCAGAAACAGAATGGTACATAGGATCTATCCCTTATAGAGATGACTGCCGCAAAGTATTCATCGAGGAAACAAACAAAGCCCTAGAGTTTATGTGTTCACAGCTTAAAATCCACTTCATTAACAACACTAAAATTCTTAATGACACCCACCTGAGCTGGGATGGAGTTCACCTAAACCAAGAGGGATCTGAAATACAAGCTAACCAAATTATCCAGGCTCTAGGCCTTACTACAAACAAAAGCTCAACGCCAAAGTCAAGCAATGGGAACCAAACGACCCCAAACTCCGAAACAGCCTCAAACCCTCCAACGAACTAGCAAAAAGCCAATCCCCTAAAAACAACCAAGCCCAACCACTTAGAATACTCCACCTAAATATACAGAGAGGCCTACAAAACAAATTAGATAAATTACAAATTGAAATTCAAAAACTCAAACCCCACATATTGATATTATCTGAACATGGACTAAAGGAAGAAAATCTACTGCAAACTCACATTGAAGGCTATATTTTAAATACCTACTTCTGCCGGAAAATCCATTTATGGGGCGGAATCGCAATTTTTTTAGACACAAAAATACAAACTCAAATAAATGAAATCAAACTTAATGGATTAAGCAAGCCTGAAGAATGTCTATTTGAAACAATAGTAATTAACATTAAACTAAAGACAGACAACATCCTACTTCTGACAACCTACAGATCACCTAGCACAAAAACCGCAGACTTTCTGGAAAAACTTGATTACTCATTGCAGCAGCTCATAAAAAGGAAAACAAACATACTAATCATAGGGGATACAAATCTTGATATAACTAAAACTCAAAATCCAGAAATAATTGATCTTTCGAACCTCCTCAGTGAACATGGATGCTATATTTACAACATACCGCAAACAAGAACCACAGCTACAACATCCACCAGCATAGACGGCTGCTATACAAATTTAGAACAAAATAGAATAAAAGTTTCAGCTCTCAAAAACCCAATATCAGATCACCACACAATTGTATGCGATATATTAGATAAAATATCAATTCAAGGCCCCCTGTACAAAAGTAGTAGAAAATACACCGACCATAATCTGGAGGAAATGAAGAACCTACTAAAACAGATCGACTGGACACCCGTTTATACCCAAAACCAAATTGACAACAAATACAATGAATTCCTAAAAACCCTGCTAATTAACCTTGACCAAGCTATCCCCAAGACCGTCAGAAAAATACAATACAGGAAAAACACCATATTCTGGAACGAAGACACTATCTCAAAAAGAAAACAACTGCAATCTGCGCAGAACAGATATGAACAGAGTGGCTGTACTCAAGATAAAGAAAATTATTATAAGATAAAAAAAGAATACGACCAACTCATTAGATCACAGCGCACAAAACATACAATAAATAAAATTGAAAAATCAGACAACAAAACCAAGGAAATATGGAGAACCATAAACGCAGAAAGGGTGAAGACTGTTAGAAACCAAACCAACATAACCCTACTACATGACAACAGGAAAATCACAAACCCAACTGAAGTTACAAGTATTTTAAATGATTTCTTTATAAACCCAATAGAAGAACTAAATCATAACAAAGTAAACTGCACTACAGATATTGAACAAATCGAAAACACAACCAATACACCATCTCTTTCAAAATTTAAATGCATATCAGAAGATAAACTAAAGAAACTTTTTACCCATATCAAGTCCAACAATGCTGCGGGCTACGATGAAATCACGGGAAAGCTGCTTAGGTACTGCAGAGAAGAAGTAACGGAACCTTTACTCCATATAATCAACACCTCACTCAACAAAAATCAAATACCTAAAAACTTAAAAATATCTA